TTTCAATGCATATGCAACAATTTTCTAAGGTAGTTATATCTTTTTCATTGTGTGTTCCTGTTTGCCCTATATATTTGCTTGGCAGAATCTTTGTCCCAGAGATTCTAGAAGAAAGGCGTCTGAGTTTCTGCTTCATTTAGCATAAGCATCATGTCTCACAACTGGAAGGGAGTAATGTGACTAGAGAGAAGGTATTGGATGGACTGAGCCCTGCAGGGAACAAAAGACGAATGACAGGAAGTGGGAATACAGACACAGAGCTTTCAAATGCATCTAGTGATTTTAGAACTGGAGTATAGACTTTAAGAAATATTTGTTGGTAACTAAGGAAAGAAATACATCTTTTGATCATTCAAATTATGAAAACTAGTTTGGTATTCCATTCATAGGAAATATGTATTGACATGTTATTTCTGGAATATTCACGGATTTTCTGGAAAACCATCTGACCAAGCTTTCTTCAAATTTCACCCATTCTTGCTTCTTGCCTATGTGGGATGGTTGGAATGAGACATCCCTTGTACACCTTGGGCATTTGAGTACAGTGAAATGGACTGAGGGGTGTGGCTGGTGAAACAGGAAAGCCACCAAAACCAGCAATCCCTGCCTTAGACCAAAAGTGATGCCCCACAGTGAAAACATCTGGGTTGCTGAGGAGAAATCACAGTTGTCCATATTAATGAGTAATGGAATAAAGTTAAACCCAGAGAATCTCTGCTTGACTGGGAACAATGAGACAAGAGGAGCTGAAACTCTCAGAGTTTTCTGCGTGGCATTGCTGGTACCATGTAAAATAATACCATGTCATAAATACAGTTTTTTTTAAGAAGTCCATCCAAATGTAAGGTTACCAATCTTAACGCTTTCATTTTCCCTTTATTATCCTAATGAGCTCAGGACTTGAGCTGAACTTTTATTGGGTACACGAGTATATTATAAAAATAGCCAAAGAATGTGGGAAGGTTATCAGAAAGTATTGGAATAGCACTTTGGAATGATTTAGAACAGACCTTAAGAAAAGGCTGGGGAATAACCTTGGGCTGGTGGTTCTGTACTCAGACATTGGCATACATATTAGCATTTAATGATTTTCTTTGAAAAATGTGCTTGTTCTTACAGTTATGGGTAGCTCCTCCAAGCTCAAGTAACTCAATCCACACCTTACAAATGCACTTCCATTTAATGACTTTAAAAAGCACAGGTTGTTAAATGTCGAAAAAGTCCAAATAGGAAAAATAAGCTTATAATAGAGGAAGGCTATCTCAAAAATAGCAAGAGTATAAACAGAACCCACAGATTAGGAGTGATATTGCTCTGCACAGTTGTATTAGCTTCCAGTATCTGAAAACAAGAAGAGTATACCCATAAAAACACCGGGAAGGTGTAAATTGCCCTACAGAACACAGTAGCTGGTGAATGTGAGTCTCCTGTAAAGCAGTGGGCCTGTTGTATTCATTTTATTGGCCTAATGTATTTGATTATGCGGCTCGAAGATAACAAGTATACTAGACATCTTATATTTTCTTCCCTCAGACCTTTTTGTTTTTTGTTAATGTTTTTTGAACCAGAAAAGTTTTTGGTTTGCATTTTTCCCAAAATAATTTTATTTATCTAAAGTGCTTCATGTTCCAGCATGTTTAAGAGTAAAGTACAAAGGGTTTCAATAGGCCCCTGCCTCCCCCCCCCCCACACACACAGTCACCAACATGTTCTACCAGGCTGGTCTGCTTATTACAACTGTCAAGCCTACCTACAGAGGCATAACTATCACCCTGAGTTCATGGTCTGCATTAGGGTTGGCATTCTGTGCTGTGAATGCTGTGGATTAGGAGAAATGACATGTGTCCACTATTACAGTGAGACATGGGACACCTTCAAAGTGCTTAAATTCCCTTGTGTCATTTCTATTCAACTCTACAGCACCTACCCACAGATTTTCAGTTTATAAAGCCATGTGTTCCCAGATTTCTTCCTAATTTGCACTGCGTTTTTGAATTGAGAACTTCGAAACACTCTTGGAATGTTGATGAGATCTTTTTGTAATCGTAACAGAAGGCTTTGTAACTTATCTGGGCAGCTACTTAACATAGATAGAACATAACTGATCATTTTTTTCTTTCTCCAGGACAAAACTCTCCATAAAAAAATCATGATTCAGTAAACGTATCTTTTCCTCTCAACCTTAACACATGCCAACCTCCACTCTAAGGCAACACATGTGTAGCTAAGCGGGGTTTACAACTTGAGCGGGAGTGAGTTAGAGTTACCACATTTATCCTTCAGTGTATTAGTTAGTTCTTGATATGAAATGGATATCTGACTTACTATGAGACCCCATGAAGGACAACAGTGCCCTTAATAGTCCTCATTCCATAAATGTGAGAGGTTCAGTTATGATACCACATTAAAGATATTTTGATTAATCTTCAAGTAAGTCAAATATTAATAACCATGTCTTAGCTTCGGTTTCTTTTTTTTTCTTCTTGTGAGAGCCAATACTCCTAAAATACAAGTGTCAGTGAATGAATCAGGTACATAGGAATAATCTACATGTACCCTAAATGAAACATTTACATTTTTAAATTTATCTGTTTGTTCATTTTAGACCACACAAAATATAAGTCCTAATTACAGTATTTGAAGCCTTTAGGAGTGGAGGGATAAAATGTAAAAAAGTCTACATATTAAAAATCTTCTATAAGAGAAGATTCACTGTTCATTTTAATAAGTAAGATTTGAACATTTCTTCTTTATAGTTTGTAGAGCCTTGAACTGGGCTTCCCACTGGTGTTCACTGCTGTGACCTTGGGAATAATACCTAATCTTGCTGAACTCTTCTGCTAAATGGGACTGACGTTGATCACTTTATAATATTCATTGAGAATGAAAGGAAGGCAACCTTGGTGAAAAATAAACATACTTCATTGAGTGCTATAGACATTTGCATTGTTATGGATCTTGGTTTATTGATGCAAACTTAAGGTCAATTTCGTTATATGTGTATTTATGCTCTTGATTAAGGTATTGTGTTTGTGCAGCTCATTTAAAAATGTAATGTATAGTTAGGAAATATAGGTTAATAGATAATCCTCTATAATAGTCAATCTTGTAGTCATTTTTGTGATATATAGAGATATATTTTAGTTAGATAATCTTCAAACCTTTCAAAGATCTATGGAATATGGCATTTAAAATATTTTAAGAACTTAGGACTTTACCTGACAATGAGACTCATCTGCTCCTCTTAGCACCTATTCACTGCAAGAGGACGATGGGCATAGAAGAGGTTCCTTATGGAGTTTGCTAGCCATTTGAGCAAGAAACTGTTCTTGTGTGAACTTCTTGATGTCATACTATATGAAATGGACATGCAGGACCCACATAAAAATGACTGCCTAAAGGTGAGATGGTCCTTCAGGGTTCCTGCTTCATGGAAAAGTCTGCCGAACACTATGGGCCTGTAGGCTGAAGATGGATACCCCAATGGTATAAAAGAACTTTGGGTCACTGTCCAGGCAGCAGAATGTCTCTGTCAATTCCAGAGTTTTGGAAGTTGCTTACTGTTTACTTCCTGTTTACTTACTGTTGCACTTCCTGTTTACTTAGGTAATATTATATCCTTCTTCAGTCTTTGATGGAGTTGAAGAAGAGACAGTTATAATTACAGTTTTCCTTAATTGTGATAAAAGATAAAGTAGATATAAAAATTGTAACTATAATTCTTGCTTGATACCTGCTTTGTTATATGTAATTTTACTGTGTTAAAGTAAAAACCTTCCTTTTTATTTAAATAGAAAAAGGAAAATAGTCTGGGAAGTCCTTCTGCATATGTGTTGTTTTTATTAGTTAATGAATGAATCTGTTTTGGCCAGTGGCCTAGCAGAATAGGGCAAGGCGGGAGTTCCAAGCAGATAGAGGAGGAGAGAGTAGGCAGAGTCAGGAGATGTAATGTAGCTGCAAGAGGAGAAAGATGCTAGCTGTTGGCTGGAACCTTGCCAGTAGGCCATGAGCCTCATAGTAAAATATAAAATAATAGAAATAGGTTAATTTAAAATTTAAGAGCTAGCTAGAAATATTCTTAAGCTATTGGCCAAACGCTATTGCAAATAATATTGTTTCTGAGTGATTATTTTGTGTCTGGGTATCCGGGAAAGAACAGACAGCCTTCTGCCAACAACTGAGTACTTACTCGTTGTGGTAGGACTTTTACAGTCATCCTAGTATTATTGCAGAGCTTGTCCTGTTATATCCATAAGGTCTCAGAGTCACAGACTCAGTGCTTGACTATTCCATCACTCAAGAAGCAGACTCTAGAAGAACCTGCACCCTACCCTCCACAACACCCTCTACAGTCTTGCCTAGACTATCTGATTTCCTCAAGTGGTTTTCACTATGTAAGAACTGCTGCAATGAGACCTTCTGACTGTTTTGAACGTTTGGCTCTGGAGAACAACAATACAGACTGGGAATAAGGATTGGCATGAGAAGTACCTCCTTGATGGTTTGAATCAGGTAGGATACTAGGCATCAGTATAAACACATCAAGGGGTCTGGACTTCCATGAAAATGCAGTAGAAACCAAGCCTGATTTTAAGATTTCCAACATGACGTTCTGCCTAAGTAGTTTTTACCACCTGTTTAATGATACTGAAATATCTCCAAATACCTGGGAGCCCTTTAATCTATAAGAAGGGAGGAAGACGCTGAAGTGATGAAACATAGGGGTTCATGATATTGAAATATCTCTTAATGCCTTGGAGCCTATAAACTGGAAGTGGACAGGGCACTGAAGAGGTAGAACACAGGGATTAAATATGACAATAATTAAGAGGCTAGGTGCATGCCATGTTTGTATTTCTACAACTGCACCATCAAATAGAAAGTCATCAGGGTCAAAACATCTAGCCATGTTAACTGGGGACTTATGGGTACTGGCATTAAGAGGACCCTGATCACAACTTGATGTTGCAATCCTCTGGACCCCAAGCCCCGCAACCCACCTGGATTCCTGGGAGTGTCTCTTGGCAGGCAGGGCAGCAGAGAGGCAGGTAGGAGAGTTTGGTTCAACTACCCACATGGCTGCTGGAGAGGACCACACCCACCATTATGGGGTTAGAAACACCAGCAGATTTGGAGAGGAAGCCAGAGAAGAGGTGATGGGGAAAAAAAGAAAGAAGTTTTAGTATCGCTTAAGAGGAGAGACAGGTTCACAGCATGCCAGTTTCCTACAGCAGTGGCTACATGGTAGGTTCTAGCAAAGGCTTTAAAATTCAGCAAAGAGTCTAAGGATTCCTGACATTTTCTTGTATGCCACTTGACTTGAGTTGACTTGGGTAACAGTGGATTTATATTTAAGACTGGCCATCACACTGTTTGTGCGTCGGAAAAATAGGCATTATTTTGCAGATGAGAATTTCAGGCCTTCTCCACTCATTTTACACATATTGTTTGACAATATTTTAAGAGAATAGTAATACAATATATCATTTTAGATCTTTGTCCTTTGAAAGATTTGTAGTGAAGGTTTCTGTATAATGTATGTGTATAAGTTGTAGTCCCTTTGAAATGCTCACTCCTCTTTTAAATGAAGATTGATGGTAAAAATTAACCCCATAGTTTAGATTCTTAGATGTGGACCATTTTTCAAATCATTTTCTCAACTGTGTGTGTTACAAACAAGTAATTGACAGAGTATAAATCCTTGTTTTAGTTTTAAAAGAATACCTTGTTTATATACATAACAAAGTGTATTTCTTATATAATAAAGCAGATGTACCTAAGAGAAAATTTGCCCCTTAAATATATGAATATACCTCGACAAAAAAAAAACACAGCATGTGAATTTATTAACAGTCCTATTAAATCTTAATTCTCTTGCTAAAAATTAAATATAACAGCACTCTATCATTGAGTTCATAAGTTTGGTTTTCCTGGAGTTCAGTTCCATGTCTTGGATTCAGAATGCAGAGGGTGTTACTCTATGGTAGACCTAAATAGCTTCCAACACAAAGCATTTGTCTACTCATAGAGATCTAATAGCAGATCCTGAACTAGAAAGGGAAGCCAAGTGGTTGTTCTATGACCCTACTCTCACATTCGGTCTAAGAAAGCAACTTCATGATGATATGCAAGATATTCGTCAGTATTGCTCTAGGATAGGGTCATTTCAGGTTCCCAATCCTCAGCTGCCCAAGGAACTAACTGGGAACCTCATCTTGGGCACTAGGGAGCCCCTCTAGGGTCAAGTCTCTTGCCCACCCTAAAGTGGCTCCCTTAACTAAGAATTGTGGTTCCGTGCTCCCCTATCCATCTTTCCTTTATCCCAATTCTCCTGTTTCCCCAGGTCCCCCCTCCTTCCCTTCTACCTTTTCTCTCCCCATCTCCCCTTACCCCCATCCACCCCACCCCCAAGATCCTATTTTCTCCCCGGCAATTTGGTCTACTTCCCTTAGCCCAGAGGATAACTATATGTTTTTCCTTGGGTTCATGTGCTGGCTTTGTGGGAGCCTAGCCAGTTTGGATGTTCACCCTCCTAGATATGGACGGAGGGGGGAGGACCTAGGACTTACCACAGGGCAGGGAACCCGGACTGCTCTGTGGACTGGAGAGGGAGGGGGAGAGGAGTGGGGGGAGGGGGAGAAGGGTGGGAGGAGGGGGAGAAGGGTGGGAGGAGGGGGAGGGAAATGGGAGGCTGGGAGGAGGTGGAAACTTGTTTTTTGTTTATGTTTTTTTTCTTCTTTTCTCAATAAAAAAAAATTAAAAAAAAAAAACAGAAAGCAACTTCAAACCATCCGATTTTACCGTTAGGTTCAAAACCGCAGAAAAGAATGAAGTATCTCCTTTCTTCACTTTCACATGGGTTTAATTACTTAAAAACAAACAAATGTATTTGTTGGTAAAGGAAAACATTATAAATTCTCATTTTAGCCCAAGCTCTCCTGTTTAAATGCACCGAGTTGACACAGGAAAAAGTATATCTGCACTGCATCTCGTAAAGAAGTGTGTGATCAAAATCAGCAGTTAAAGCAGTCTCCAGTTGTAAAGAATGTTAAGTATTTTTAGTATCTAATTAGTCTTCTAATGGTTTATCTGAAAGAAAAAAATTTAAATATAAGAATAAAACTTTATATTCAGTCATAACTTTGGGGAACTAAAATATTACTAAGTTATATTTTTACTCATGTGGATAAGCCGTTTTAAAGTTGACTTATAAGGTTTACTATTTAACCCATATGTGAAGAGTTTCCTAAAAAAAGAGTCTAGTGACATTTCTTCTTTTTTTTTTTTTAGCACATTTATTCTTAGTAATAAAGTCATTCTCTGAGTACCAGCAGCCATTATCACAGTGTTCAAGTGTAGTTTTCCATCCCACTTACTGTCAATTATTATGGGCTCCCTGGTATAGTTTTCTTATTGTGCCTGTAATACTATCATGCTTTCTTTCAGAAGATGAAATCCAGGTCATGAGACAGGCCTAGTCCCTCCATCTGTAGTTTAGTGATGAATACCCTTGCCATTCATTCATCAGTCCCATTTCTAAGATTCAAATTAATAGAGTTAGTCTTTGCTTTCTAAATGTAGATAATGAGAAAAAAGTAACTGACACAGGGGCTCTTGTGTAGCTATAACCTGAATGCAACTCCTGTTAATAGGAACTGGTATTATACCCTGTATGAATCATATCAACAGAAGAAAGGTACTCTCTCAAGAGACCCCAAAATATGCAGTATATAAATGCCCATGTTAGACTCCGAAATAACCAAGGTTCAGGAAACCTTGAGTTGTTCTTAGAGACTGCATTTCATTCTTCCCCAGAGAAAGCAAACCATGGAATTTTACAGAGATTGCGAGATGAGAAAGTTCCCTCATTATTAGGACAATGGAGCCATTGCACAGCAGGTCTATGGAGCTGCCTCATTAGATGCTACTGGGAAGAGTGAGCTGAGAGCAGCGAGGGAGCAAACAGCCACAGTCGTTATGTAAAGACTCCCTGGCTGCTTGGTAGCCTACCACATTTGCTTTCTTATTTATAATATATGCAAGAAGGCCATAACGGACTTCCAAGCGACATCCTGAAAAGTTAATACTTATTGCAAATTACATTTATAAACAAATGGAGCATCCAAGTGGCTCATGCAAGAGAAACAAAGGCTCAGAATCTATAAGTTTTTCTTTTTGTGACTCAGGGAGGAAGTAGCGGGGTGTGGGTTTATTAGCCAGTTTCTAGGCAGAGTGGAATGCAATGTGTCCTATATAGAAGAGCATCATGGTGAGATATGTCTTCCCTTGGGAAGGATTACTTAAGCTAAGATGTGTTACCTAAAAGAACAGGATGTTTTCTTCTTCGCCTGCTTTGAGATGAGAGGACTAACTGACATGTTTGTTCTCATCCAGTCTGCCCTGATTTCCCTAACCCCTGAAGAGTGTATCTCAACTGTAGCTAGGATCCAATTACAAGACTTGACACTTGCTGCTATAGTCTGAAACTTTAGTGTTTATAGACTTTGTGCCTAGAGTGATGCGGTGAAAGAGGCCATGTGACCTTTGGGAGTTGGCATAGCGGGAGTCTTTTAGTCATGGAGGTGTTTCCATGAAGTGTATTTCTCATCTTTTCTCTTTTGCTTCCTGGCTATGAGGAACATAGACTTTTCTGCTGTGGTGTAGAGTCTCCAAAAACTGAGTTCAACCAATCATGAGAAGATACCTTTAAACTCTGACTTTTTTTAAAATTTTTTAATTTTTTTATTTTACTTTTTATTGAGGTCGATATTTTTCTATGCTCCCCTTCTTGCCTCTCCCCTCCCCTTCAACCCTCTCCCAAAATCCCCATGCATCTAATTAATTCAGGAGTTCTTGTCTTTTTCTACTTCCCATGTAGATTAGATCTATGTAAGTCTCTCTTAGGGTCCTCATTGTTGCCTAGGTTCTCTAGGATTGTGATTTGTGGGCTGGTTTTCTTTGCTTTATGTCTAAACTCTGGCTTTAAATGATATTTTTCCTTTTTAAAAAAAACTTATTTCAGACATTTATTATAGCAGCAGAAAGCTGACTGATGCAGGAGCCGGGAGGGAGTTTTATTGATATTAGAGTTCCTGGTGGCTTCTGTGTATTTGCTGAATGGCTCCTTTCTCTACTGGACACTTACTGTTTCAAGGAAACATGTGACTTTAAGGGACAACAGCAATAAACTGCCATGGCTTCATCTCCAAGGCCTTCATGTCACTAGTTCAGAGTGGCTCATTTTCTACAGTAGAATCTTCTTGAAAACCCAGGTACTCTTACTTTTCTGTAAATCATTCAATCAAAGCGAAATTTGCTTCTACCAATTTGCTAGCACGTTCACTGGTCAACAGCTAAGTATTGTGAAGGGTGGCAAGATATGTCAGCAAAGGAAGGGGAACCAACTCTCAACTTCATGAGTTTATATGATATTTCATAAGAGAGGCCAAAAAGCTACTGGCAAGAGTGAAATAGAAGTGTAAAGAAGGTGGCATTCCATGTCATTCTAGAAAAGCATTAGCTTCATCTGCACACACAGAGTGAGAATCAGGTTGGGAAACACTGAGAGGCACATAGCGGGTATTCAGTTCACAGGATACCATTTCAAACTCAGGAACCACAGTCCTGTATCCCCCACCACCCATTATAGAGTACTATCTTGTTCTAAAAGTACATAGGGGTGTGTATTGAATATCATGGAAACACAACTCAAAAAAGGATCCTGAGACTGAATATACATCTGAATACGTATGAGTTCTTCACTCAAAAAAGTATCCTGAGACTGAATATACATCTGAATACGTACGAGTTCTTCACTCAAAAAAGTATCCTGAGACTGAATATACATCTGAATACGTATGAGTTCTTCACTCAAAGCCTCAAACAAAGCAAAACTAGGATAAAGAAAACAAAGCTGCATCTGGATGGTGAGAACAGAATGGAGCAGCTGGATAATTGGCAATAGAATATATATATTAGAAATTGCTTTAAGAGGAATTCTGAGTCCATTTGGCCTAATGCAAGTGCTTTTGTTGCTTTGAGGTTAAAGGTGGTATCATTTTAAAGTGTAAGCCCGAAAGTCT